CAAAAAAAAAAAAAAAAAAAAAAAACGTTAAATGTACAGAAAAGGAACTCCCATATAACCCTCACCCAGATTTACCGACTTGTGACATTTAGCCAATTTAGCTATATTTACCCGTTCATGCAGCTCCTGAGATATTGGAAAATAAACTGCTTCTTCTGTAAACCTGGACTCGGAGGGGAAAAGAAAAGAAAAAAAACTGCCTAGATCCTTTTTAGTCCATCCTCCAGAAGCTTCATAGATCACCGAGTGTCCCTTCCCAGAATGTACATCAATGCTGCGTGACCCCCACTTCTATGCATAAGGGTGGCCTTCTTGCCTTAGGTTTTACCGAAGGCTCTTGGTAAACAATGGCCTTATGTTCTGAGTTGCCTCTCACCCCTCCTCTGCCCTCCCGGAACCAGAGGTGTCCAAAGGTTCCCTGCACACCCCCCTACTGCTCTGTTGTAGTTACACCTTGGGGCAGGTTCCTCATCCTCAACCCCCACAGGTGCCCTTGTGGCTGTGTGTCATAAGCCTCTCCCCCTTACAAAGCGGCTGTGTGCCTGGCAACCCTTGGGAAGGAACCACTTCAGATTGTTTGGGGAAACATCCTTAGCAACAAAAAGACAGATGGTTACAACAGGAAAACCCTGAGTTCGATGTAGACCTTTGTGGGTGCAGGAGGAGGTGATACCTGCATCCGTCATCAGATTGTGGAGAGTAGAACCCTCTGACTGTGAAATGGGTCTGTTAATCTGGCCTGGACCAGAGCCAGTTCCTCCCTAGCACAAGATCAGACCTCCTGTTCTGGCACAACCTCGGATGCAGTCACTGGGTAACCCAGTAAGCTCCTGGCTGTCCCTCCTTCCTCTACCTGTGAATACAGCATGGCTGAAGCCCAAAGGATTCCAGTTCTGCTGCTTCCTCCTCAGTGTGGGTGGCCCGCCCCAGCGTTTCTCACAATGAACCCTCTAAGTGGGATGGTAGCATGCGGCATGAAGGGTCCGGGAGCAGCCCTCTTTTGCTTTAGGTGGCGGTTGGTTCAGGGGGCATGGTGTCAGGTGAGGGGTGGCGCACGGAGCCACTGAGCTGGGGACAACATCCAACTAAGCCACTTCCACTGGGGCTCTGGGCGGGTTATTTCACCTCTCCAAACCTCCACTGTTCATGTCATGGTACTCATCTGTAAAATGAGAATTTAAAAAGGTACCTACTCAGTGTGTAGGGTTTACATGAAGACAAGTGAAAACAGGCCTGAAAGCATTTTTCATGGTGCCTGGGACACTTAATTTTCTATCTATCCATCCATCCATCCATTAGTTTAATTAATTTTTTTGAGATGGCATCTCGATCTGTTGCCTAGGCTGGAGTGCAGTGGCACAATCCCGGCTCACTGCAACCTCTGCCTTTGGGGTTCAAGTGGTCTTCCTGCCACAGCCTCCTGAGGAGCTGGGATTACAGACATGTGCCACCACGCCTGGCTAATTTTTTTTTTTTCCAAGTAGAGATGGGGTTTCACCATGTTGGCCAGGCTGCTCTTGAACTCCTGACCTCAAGTGATCCCCGTCCACCTCAGCCTTGCAAAGTGATAGGATTACAGGTGTGAGCCACTGTTCCCAGCCGATCCACTAATTTTATATCTATCTATCCATCCATCCATCATCTATAAAGAGAGATACCACTATAGGGAGGGGTCTGTACCTTCAAATGCTTAAGCATTACTTGTATCTACCCCATGAATCATGGAAGGTGGGAGGGAGTAAGGTGGGTGCTCCTGGATGTTTGCACAATCAGCCAGCCAGGACCCGGGTTGGCATGTCCCCAGCTCATGTGGCGGTGGCCTTTGCAGGTGCAGAGCTACATGGAGCACCACTGCAACAACTCCACGGACCGGCGGGTTCTGCTCATGTTCCTGGACATCTGTTCAGAGCTGAGTAAGCTCTGCCAGCACTTTGAGGCCGTGCACTCTGGCACCCCAGTCACCAACAACCTCCTCGAGAAATGCAAAACCCTTGTGAGCCAAAGCAATGACTTAAGCAGCCTCAGAGCAAAGTAAGTCCCTGCGATGCTGCCCTCGAGGCCCCGTGTATGCCTGGGGGAGGCCCCTGTGCTGCATCCGTCCTGTTGCCTGGACCGTGTGGCTCCTGTTAGACCACCCTGGGCAGCAAATCCCAGGCTGCACTTATTTATTGGATTGGCTTGGATTCCACACAGGCTTTTCTTTACAAGCATTGTAGACATGGCAGGACACCAAGCATCTTATGGGAGTTAGCACCAGCAGGTGGAGAAGGGGGTATAGGTAGAGCCTTGAGCAGTTGCCTCCGGAAGTCCACAGAGATTCTCACTGATGTGCAAAGAAGTGGACCCAGAGCTCCCTTCCGGGGCAGCAGCACTGCCACTGCAGGCTTCTCACCATGACAGCCCGGGAGCCAGGGAGCCCACAGGACAGTGGGCTGGAGCCTGGGAAGCTCTGCAGATACCAGGGTGAGAAGAACCAGAGGGACAAGCCAGCCAGTTCCTCACCCCAACCCAGGTTTCTACAGACCATGGGGCAGTGCTTTGCACCTCCTGTCTTTCACACCAGAATTACCCAGGGCTTGTGGCACCCCAGGCCTGCTCTGCCAGAATCTCTGGAGACAGAGAGGCTGAGCATGCTGTGTGTCTAGTTCTAAAGCCTCCCTCCTCAGGCGACTCTGCTGTGCTTGAGGTCTGGCAGCTGCAGTCCCAGGAGAATGGGCTCACCTGGCCCCCTGCCGCCCTGCAGATACCCTCATGACGTGGTGAACCACCTCAGCTGTGACGAGGCTCGGAACCACTACGGAGGTGTGGTCAGCCTCATCCCCATCATCCTGGACTTAATGAAAGAATGGATCGCCCACTCCGAGAAGTTGCCCCGCAAGGTGCTGCAGCACGTGAGTGAGCCCCAGCTGTGCCAGGAGAGTACCAGGGGAGCCGCTCGTCCTTCCCGGGCCACAGGCACCCAGCTCGGGGCCACTAAATTCAAGTGTAGACCGCTCACAAAAGGCCGCCTCAAACCCAGGGGGAAAGACAAAGGACGTTCAAAACCACCCTGGAGGCCTCCTGGTGGGAAACTGTAACGCAGCCAGGGAGCCCCATCGCTCCGTCGGTGGAGAGCTTTGCTATTTAATTTGGATGTTACTGGTTGGTCCTTTTTCATTGGCACCCACCGTTCTTGCCACTTATTAACCCCAAAGGGAATTGGCCAATACATTACTAAGACCACCCCCCCACTCTGGCTTTAACTTCTGACGTTTCTGATTCTACGCATCCGGCTCTGTGCTGATGAAGAGGAAACCCACTTATAGGAGCTGCCCAAACAGGGTGGCATGGTAGCGGGTCCCAGGAAGGCACTGAACTGTCACCTAGGTCCTCTGTGAGCCACATCCGGCTCCAGTGCCAGGCCTGTCCCTGCTGTGGGCTGCAGCTTTGCAGTGAGCCATTTAGCTGGAGACCATTGCTCCTTGCTCCACCACCAGCCCCAACTGTAGTCAAGGCACACGCTGTCTGCCAGCCAGGGATGCGCCCCTCCGGGATGGAGAGGGGGTCAGCGTGTGGAACTCGGTGTGTTTGTTTTTATTTTTTGAGATAGAGTCTCGCTGTCTCTCCCAGGCTGGAGTGCCGTGGCGCCATCTCGGCTCACTGCAACCTCCACCTCCTGGGTTCAAGTGATTCTCCGGCCTCAGCATCCTGAGTAGCTGGAATTACAGGCACCTGCCACCCCGCCTGGCTAATTTTTGTATTTTTAGTAGAGACGGGGCTTCACCATGTTGGCCAGGCTGGTCTTGAACTCCTGACCTCAACTGATCCGCCCACCCCAGCCTCCCAAAGTGCTGGGATTACAGGTGTGAGCTACTGTTCCCAGCCAGATCTCAGTGTATTTAGTTCTCCAGACCACAGCCAAAGGGGAGTGAACTCACCTTTCCTTCTCATTTACTTGGGAGAGGGAGACCATGACAGAAGCCAGAATTCTGATTTTGTGGCTCCTGAGCAAGGGCAATGACCTGGCTTTCACAGCATCGTCAAACCCCAAACACTGTGAAATGTGTCCCTGGCTTCTGAGCTTGCCCAAAGTCATGTCTGACTGTTGGTTTTTCCCTTCGCAGGGGACGACTTAGCTTCTGTATTGTTGCTTCCTCAGGGGGAGACAGTCGAGAATAAAAAGTGTTCTACCATCTCTCTGCCTGGCTTGGTTTCCTGGGATTTATCCCTGAAAGATAACATCCGCATTTCTCCCAAGACACCAAAGGACACTGGGCAGTAGCCACACAGGCAAAACCTCCGCAGACAGCAGAGGGCCACCCTAGGCAAGGGAGCATGCCTGTCTCCAGTTGGCTTCTAAGAGGTTCATGCCCAAGCTCCAGAGGGCCAGTATTCAGATCTTCTGCCAAGGGTGGGAAGTCTAGGAAGCCTAGTTAGAGACCCTGTCAGGTAAGAAAACCTGAATTTTCCAGAGAAATTAAAAACTGCCACCTGCCAGTTTTAGTCTCAAAGGAGTTGCTTCAACCATTAAAATGGGCAGAGCAGACTGGGCGTGGTTGCTCACACCTGTAATCCTAGCACTTTGGGAGGCTGAGATGGCTGAGTTACTTGAGGCCAGGAGTTCGAGACCAGCCTGGCCAACATGGTGAAATCCTGTCTCTACTAAAAAAAATACAAAAAAAAATTAGCCAGGTATGGTGGCAGGTGCCTGTAATTCCAGCTACTTGAGAGGCTGAGGCAGGAGAATCACTTGAACCTGGGAGGCGGAGGTTGCGATGAGCCAAGACCGCGCCACTGCAGTCCAGCCTGGGCAACAGAGACTCTGTCTCAAATAAATAAATAATAAAGCGAGAATAAAATGAACAGGACAATGCTGATGTCCAGACACAGCCAGACAGAGGCAAGCAACTGAAAGCCACATTGCAAATGACTCATTCCTTATGTGGTCCTTATATGGAAGTCCCAGGCCAAGAGATCATAAGCCAAATTGTGTAAAGGGTTTCCGGCCTTCTTCCAAAGCCTTGAAGGGCATGGAGCAAGGGGTGCTGGGAGCTACGCTGTCACCTCGGTGCGCTCACATCATCACAACCAGCAAGGCTCAGGAGGGTGAGCTCTGAAGCACTGACGTGTCAGTGGGGTGCCACTAAAAGGACTCCGTGGCACCAAACATGCCAGGCATGTCGCAGCAGCACAACCCCGCAGACCACCTGGCTCTGGGGTTTCTCCGTAGACAGGATTCAAGTCACCCCCTCCCACACTATGCCACTTAGCCACTCTCTGAGGAAGAGCATGAATTTGAGGCAGGTAACAGGTAGGATTTGTGGCTGTGCACCAGATAATTCACCAGAATAAAAGGGGTCTTCTTAGAGACGAAAGCCCAAATCCACTATTTGTCAGGCCCCTCCCTCCTCAAGTCTCGGAAGGTAGCCAAACCAGACCCTAAGGCTTTCTGTCTCTGGACTAGTCCCCTGCTTGACCTATAGGCCTGCCAAGGCCAATGCTAAGTCACTCCATGTCCACACAGCAGAGTAGTGCAAAACAATAATTTTTATTTGTTCACAGTTAAACACAAGCAACTGCCTTGACATTTTAGAACATTCTAAGGACAGCAAACCCTTTTGATTCCAATTCCCATTCACTAAGATTGTACCATTTTATCTTGCAGTTCATATTTGTGGCATCTGATCTGGATTGTTGACATGCTTTTAAGATTGAGGCTGGAAAGTTTAGACCTTTTGACAAGAGCTGACTTTCTTCAATTTAACTAAAAGCAGTCTGTTTTTAAAAAAAATCAGTTTCTTTTCACTGATGGGACCCCTTTAAACTGCAAGTTTGCCACACCTGGTTCATCCATGATTGAGTTATAAAACTAGATTACGTCTTAGCAAAATCTGTTCCTCCGTAATATATTTGTGGTCCATAGAAGTCGTCTGAAAAGTGATTACTGTTTCTTCCTAGTGCAAAATGCATGGCTGCCTCTTTCATAAGCTCAAATATTTGCTACACAGAGCAGCTCCTGTCCAAACACTGGGAGAGGTGGGGAAAGGGAGGGAAGGATTGGTCTGGGGGTTCTCAAGGCTCTCAGGGTCTCCCCTGAAAGGTCCATGCTAATGGTTAAATCAGCCTACTTATCCCAGAGAATGGATAATGTGGCACTGGGAAGCGGGGCGGAAGCTCCTCTGCCTTCATTAACTCGTTTCATGACCAAAAGCCGTGGGCACAGGTGCTCAGCTCTTCCAGGCAGGCTTCCCCTGTAGCTGCAGCCGCTCTTCCCTCAGGCGAGCAGGTATGGACTGCAGGATGGCATGGAAGAGACAGGAACACGCCCCCCTGGGCACATCGAAGAGTCCCAGACAGGGAAACAAGCCACATGGGACAAGGGTCACAGCAGCAGCCTAGGGGCCAGTCCTTGACCTAAACTTGTTCTTTTACCTACAGACAAAAGCTTAATCAAGTGCAATCAATTACTTTGCAGCGATCTGGGGGGCATGTGTCACAGAACTCTGGATGTAAACAGATACACAAACATCTTCAGACTGGATACACTTTTCCAACACTCATGGCAGGTGTTTTAAAGCATGTACCCTGGAGAGTGAAGATGCAGCAGACACGGTGTGCTGATTTGGTCACTGCACACAAGGCAGCTTTCTTCTCCAAGTAGGGCAGAGCCCCCAGGGGGACCATGCTCCATGAATATTTGCAGGGGGCGGGCAGCACTCCATCTCACCAGGGTCCTGGCCGGGCCTTCACTCTGCCCAAACCCTCCTCCAGCCTGTACAGGCTTCCTCCGGCCTCAGTGCTTTCAGTGAGAAAAAGTGAGTATTGTTATGCAGTACTTTTGTTTCCTCTTCAGTTCTTTCTTTCTTCAAGTGGTATGCTCTACTATTTGGTAGAAATTCACATTGGCTTGTCACAGCACACTTCAGTTCTGCTGGCTACACGAAACATACCCAGTTTTCTATTCGTAACAGCGAGTCTGAGCCTCTGTGGTCTCAGAGATCCTTTCATCCCCAAGACCATTTTATACATCCTCCTCTAAACAAGTGCTAGTTTTATCTTTCTCAACAAATATACCAGAAACTACACGTGCTGTTGCAAAGGGGAAGGTCCAAGTCTACGGTTTCACTCCCTGTTGTCCTGCTTTTGCCCAGTAATGTGCGGCCTGGTGGGTGAATTCTTTTAATCGTCAGTGGCTTCCAGGACCCGTTTCCTGGGTTTAACAGTTCACCTTCTCAGAACAGTTCGGACCATTTCCCCCACCACGTCACATAAACTTTGGCTCACAAAGTAGCTCGCCTCTTGCCTCTCCGCTCATCAAGCTTAGTAAGAAAATTCTGCAGCTTATTCCCAAAGGTCGGGCAGTTTTCTCTCCTGAAAACCACTGTCTGTCCACCTGCCTTAGGAATGCTGGGCCAGCACTCATCTCCAAGGACATCTTTAACAACCTCTCCACCTAAGAAATGACCTTGACCTTCCTACCTTTGGGTTTCCGTTTTCTTCATTACGTGTTTCTTCCAATCCCATAATAACAATTTTTATAGACTTTATGGCAGAGCCTTGTCAACGGCTCTTTGAAAATCCACAGAAGTTCTATCAGACGCAGATCTGCGTGCTTATTCACCTGCAGGGACTCGGGAGCTCATTTGCTCTGCGTCTTCTTATCCCCCTCCCCGCTAAAACTGTAGTGCTCCATTTTAAATGACTCCCATGCTGCATAGCAGCAGACTCCAGGCTCCTCAGGGCCTGTGCTGACTCTGGTTAGTGTCAGGTGGGGAACCGAGTAGGTTATGCATATTGGCCAAACAGCTGAGACAGGTATCCTCGCCCACAATGATTTCTGGACAGACCATCCAATCCCAGTATTTATGAATACCAAGCTGCTTAACTGATTTCAAGGCAGATTCTGCCCTTAATGCTAATTGTACTAATGCCTTTGCCCAGGACTGAACTGCCTCTCGAGAGTCCTACTATCACCTTTCCATCCTTAAAACGAATCATTGCAGCATGATCAAGTGACCTGTTGACTCTTGGCAGGTTTATCGCTTCCAAAACCAAACCAAACCTAACTACTGACTCTGGGGTTCTTTGCAACATAGAAGCCTACATTTTTAGGTTGGGCACTTTCAACCTAAGTCCAGGTCTCAGTCCCCCAACCGTAGCTGAATAAATCCACAGCCTCCTAGAACTCAAAGGCACCTGAGCTTGCAGCCGCCTTTGTTATAAAGCTGAGTAAACGGACACCCAGGCCGGATGAATGAAGCTCCATCCATGGAGCTTCCAGCCTAGGCCTCTCACCACTTGACCAAGCTGCCTCCTTTCTTCCCTTTATTTTTACAATCTATCCACTTCTAAAATGTTTTTTCTTTTTCACGTGGGCCTCTTTTCCTTTGCCAATTAAGGAAAAGGCTTTAAGTGCCTGCTAACTTGTTCTGTGGCACAGACCTCTTGGGCATGAGGAGGGGAAAGCACTTGTGTTTCAGGATTCACGGATGGGAATTCCTGCCCTTTCTAAATTTGTTCACGTTTTCCTTTTCTAAAGCTGAACCAGGAAACTAGACTGTACTGGATTTTACACTTTCCTTTGGACAAAGCTGAATTAAACATGTGGTATCACTAATACTCCACATCTGACATGCAGTCGCAACTGCCTGCCTGTGCTAGGCTGAGCAGGGACCTAGGGACCACACCCTGCCACAGGCTGGGAATCAGTCACACCCAGAAAGCCTGCCCCGAACAGGTTTCTGCTGGTATAGCCAGGGTGACACAGAATCTCTGTCTAGTTCCCTTTACTTAAGGATGCTGGAATATTTATTGCCATG